TGTGTGTGTGTGTGTGTGTGTGTGTGTGTGTGTGTGTGTGTGTGTGTGTCCTAGGACGTAACCACTGTTTATAGACAGCACTGAAACAGAAAGCTTACTGTTTTGTAACAGCTTTGGAGACATTTCTCTTCAGCGGGGATGAGGTGGGGAGGGTGGATGTGTTTGGGTGAGAACACTGGGCTGGGGGTTACAATTCCACCTTTGCCGTTGACTTACTCTGCCTCTTTCCCTTTCTGAGAAAATATACATCATATATCAAATACGGTGGTCCACTAGACAGGTCACGTAGGGTCCCTTGGAGCGTCTAACATTTTGTAACATTGCCTGTGTCTCTGAGCCCAAGATGACCTACTGAAATCAGGGCTCGTTTAGATATTCCATGGAATGCCTCCTGTGCCCCTGCCGTGGGACACAGGCCCCTTCTCCATGCCTAGGTGGGCCCCTCTCCTCCAACACACGGATTACAAGGGGATTTGGGAAGAGGCTGACAAGCCCATTGAAGAGCGGCTCAGGGAGAGGGTAGGAGGGCAGAAGAGGGACTTCTGGGAGACACTAGGGGTGACTGAGAGGGAAGTGTAGGGATGGGGGTTGGGGCAGGAGGGTCACTCCTCCTGGGAGAGGCTGAGGTGGGGTGGTACCCTCTGAGCAGTCTCTGGGGCTATTCTTGGGCCAGCGTCCCTTCATCTCTTCTCACTAACTTAGGGGTGTCTGTCTTTGTCTCTCTGTTCCCCGTACCTGATCCTCTGCCTCTGTTTCTCTTTCTGTTCTCTCTTCTCTTTCTTTCTCCCCTTTCTATCTCTCTTCTCTCTTTTTCTCTCTTCTTTCTCTCCTCTGTTTTTCCCTCTTCTCTCTTCTCTCTCTCTCTCTCCCTCCCTCTCTCCCTCTCTCCTTCCCTCCCTTTGTCCTGGTACGTATTTCTGCCTATATCATTCTATATCATTCTCCTCTCTGGTGTCTCCTTTCAAATGGTCCTTCTTCTGTCTTCGGGTCTCTCTTTCTGCTTACTGTCTCTGCATGTCTCTTTTTTCTCTCTGTGTATCTTCTCTGTCTGGCTTTCTCCCTATTCCCCCTCCCCCATCTGTTCTTTCTCTTTCTGTGTTTGTCTCTTTGTGTGTCTCCTCTGTGTGTCTTTGTGAGTCTGTCCCTCTGTGTCTTTGTGTTTCTCCATGTCTTTCTCTTTGTCTTACACTATGTCTCTCTCTCTCTTTCTCTCTGTTCCTCCTCCTATGTCTCTCCTCACCATGTCTCTTTGTCTTACACTATGTCTCACTCTCTCTGTCTCTGTCTCTCTGTCTCTCTCTCTCCCTCCCTCTGTGTGTCTCCTCTGCTTTACCTCTGCCCTCTCTCTCCTCGCCCTGTCTTTGGCTGAGGACAGAGCCCAGCCCGGGGCATGGAGGCCGGCTGCGCCGAAACGTGGAGGCCGGGGTAGGGCCCGAGGCACGCTCCTCAGAGAATGGCACCCAGGCCGAGGTGCCCGAGGAAGCCGCAGCCCAGTATGCCGTCATCGCCATAGTTCCCATCTTCTGCCTCATGGGCCTGCTGGGGATTCTGCTCTGCAACCTTCTCAAGAAGAAAGGCTATCACTGCACGGCCCACAAAGACGGCGGTGAAGAGGCCGGGCTTGAGGGCAAGAACGGTGAGCAGGGTACAGAGCCATGAGAGGGGCAGACACAGCCTTTGTCCTTGGGGAGCTGCAAGTCTGAGGCTGGAAAAAGCCCCTGCCTTTGGTGGGTGGGTGTGTGGGGACTCCTGGGGACATCAGAGCAGGTGATCCAACCGCTCTCCAGGTGTGCATGGCCAGGGAAGGGGGAGCAGCTTATGGTGAAGATGAGATACTGAGGGGAGGTCCAGGCAGACATGGTCTGTCGATACCTGGATGTTCTAGTCTGGAACCCAGGAGAGGCATTAGGCTTAGACCTAGGAGTCATCAGCAGAGATGAGCTCACCCACGGAGAGAATTTAGAGAGAGAAGATTAGGGCCCAGGATGAAGCCACACAATTAGAGGGTAGGAGAGGAAGATGAGCTTGGAAAACAGATAGCAAAGGAAAGGGCAGACAGCTAGGAGAACCAGGGGAGAGCAGGAAGGCCCAGAAGGAGACAGTGTCAGGCAGGAAAGAGATGAATGACGGTAGCAATAAGAGGAGAAGGAGCAGGAAAAGGAGGAAAAGCTGCTGGATTTGGTGATGAGGAGGGCGGGGGGACCTTGGAAAGAATGGTTTTAGTGGCATGTTAGGGCTTAGGGAGAGCAGGCAGTGAGGAAGCAGATGACTCTTCCAGAAATTAGATGGTGCAGGGGCCCATGGGAGAGAAATGGAGCAACAGCTTGCAACCATTTGAGTCCTAGGCCTTGTCAGTGCTAAGGGAGTCTAACAGTATGCCTTCCCAAGAGGCCGGAGTTTTACGGGGTCGAAGGTTTTGAAGGCCCAGGGTTCTAAAGTTCTGAAAGTGTTGAGTCAAGTTAGCTACCAGACTTGGTAGGCAGGAAGACCTGAGTTCGAATCCTGATTCAGATGCTTACTAGTTGTATAACGCCAAACAACTCACTTACTCTCCTTCAGCCTCTGTTTCCCCGTCTATAAAAATGGGAATAATAATATGAAACTCAAATGAGATAGCAGATTTTTTTTTATAAAGCTTTAATGTTATATTTTAAAATGTTTTTAAACAGCTTTGGAGGGGGAAAAATCTGTGAGTCTGACAATCTAAGGCTGACTCCAATTTCCCCCGATGGCTGAGGTCAGGAAGGTGGGGCTCGGAGGAATGGGGACAGTTTTCCCTCTACCTGCCTGAACCCCTTCTGGGGAAAGGGCTGAGGAACAGGAGTGAGGGTACTAAATGGATTATTACAGTCTCCAGGACAGGCCAAGGGCCCCCAGGACCTGCCTCTCAGAACCATGTAGCATCAGGGGCCCAAAGGGAGCTGAGCGAACATCTCCTCCTCGAGTTACAGACCAGGAAGCTGTGTCCTGGAAGGGGAAAGGGACTTACCCAAAGGCACTCATCCAAGTCAGGGACAGAGCTAGAATGAAAGCCCAGGCCTCGTGCTTCCGGCCAGGCTCATTTTCCCTCAGCTACCTTTTGGCCTAAATTCATCCATGGGCCCTAAAGCCCAAGGAGTATCAGCAGGTGAACTGATTGGATGTGTGTTGGCACTTTGTTCCCAGCCAAATGGTCTGTTTATTTCACTGTAGGCTACTGTCCTCATCGATGCACATCGACATAATGCAATATTGTTGGACCCAGGCAAAGAGAGAACCATTATATTTGTGTTTTGTTTACCGAGAGAATTGGGGTGTTTCCAACCCCCTGAGACCCCTTCTTTCTCTTGCTGCCTTTTGATCTGCTAAGAGCCCCTGATGTGGACCTGAGAATAGGAACCGCCATTACTGGAGCCATCGACTCCTGGCCTTAGCCTCCCTGGAGATTAGCTAATCTGTAGAGGGAGACTCAGGGTGACCCATTTAAGGCTGCATCAGCCCAAGGCCTCTCCCGAGCCGGAAGGCTGGTTACCCTTTGGGTGGGTGGGTGCGTGATATGGAATGTCAGGATTCTCTAGGGGGAATTCTGGGGCCAAGTGCATCCAAGATTAACTCTACAGCTGTTGAGGATGCTTCCCCAGCTGTCTCCTTCCCTGGGGAGTGGAAGGGGTGAGAGGCAGGAGTCTGAAAGCAGCTAATAACCCCTCCTTCCCCCCAGGATCCTCCCACATCTGTTCCCTAGGAAGGACTGGCTAGGCGACAGAGAGGAAAGACCTTCTTTCTCTTTGCTGGGTGAAAATTCATCTTGCCCTTATAGGGGAGGCGTCTAGCCATCTAACCCTAATCTTTTCTGCTGCAGTTAAGGCCACATGTCTTTGGGAATGAGAACAGTTCTCTGGGAAACAGCCTAGGAAAGATTCTAGCCATGGCTCTGCTGCTGATTTACTCTGTGACTTTTGATGAGTCCTTTGGGCCCCTCAGTTTCCTCATCTGTACAAATGAAGTGGTTCTGGGTCTCTAAGGGCCCCTTTCTAGCTCTGGCATTCTGTGGGTCTGTGCATCCTGATGCCATGCACTGGGCAAAGGAACCTCTGTAGCTACAGGCTTGCCTCTACCCCATCCCCATCCCAGGCATCCAGACTAATGCCCATGTAGAGAGCCTTAAGTTGGTTGAGTAGGAAAAAGACAGAGGCAGAACACGAGCTCCGCTGCCTCAGGGAGCCCCACATACTGAGCACTCACCCCATTGAGCAGCGCTGCCTGGTTCCCTGCCCAGGCTTTGAACCCTGTTCCCATCATGTCCCTCCCAATCTCATAGACTCTTGTCTCTCTTCCCCAGGGACCAACCCTGCCTACCGGATGGATGACCCCAACGAGGACACCATTGGGGTCTTAGTCCGGCTGATCACAGAGAAGAAAGGTGAGGCGGGGGTGCCACCTGTCCCCTCCCCCAGCCTTGGAACCTTAGGGGCTCATTAAGATCTTACACTCTACCAGGACCAGTCACTTGAATAAGAGGAAGTGCCCTGGTGGGAACAAAGATTAGGGAATTGGGGTCTGTCTTGTTGATTCAGCACCAGCGATTTAGTTAAGGAAAGGAAGCAATTCCTGCTGTCTTGCTGTGCAGGTATATGAAACCTGGCCCCTCTCCTGATTCTGCCAGGGGAGAGGGGGAAGGAGGAGACAAGCATTTATTAAGTTAATATAAATTAGTTATTTCATCAAATTAATTATTAATAATAGAATTATTAATTTATTAAGCATGTATTAATATTTATTAATATGTTAAGGTACTTTATACATACTATCTCATTTGGTTCTGGGAAGCTATTATTATCTCCATTTTACAGATGAGGAAGCTGAGGCAAACAGAGGTGAAATGACTTCCAGGGTTACCCAGCTAGGAAGTGACTGAGGTTGGATTTGAACGCAATTCTTCCTGACTCTAGGTCCAGTGTTCTGTGTGTTGTGCTTAGCTCCTAGCGATAACGATCATGGTTCACAGTGGACATTTTAAGGTTTGCCAAGGTGTTTTCCTCACTACAACCCTGTGAAATAGTCCTTAGTGTTACTATTCCCGTTTCCCAGGGCCTGAGGACACTGAGGGTCGGAGAGATTAGATGATTTGCCCAAAGAGATTTCCTAACTCCCGCCCAGTGTTTGCCTCAGTTTCCTCATTGTGCCATGCTGTCAGTCTCTGGTATGCCATGGCAGAACCTGGGACCAAGACAGCACCTTCTGAAGATGCTTCCTATCTCATTGGCCCTTAGTCTGATAAGGGGCCACTGTGCACAGACTGTGGAGGAGAGGCTGAGCTTAGATACCTCCTGTGTGTGCCTGGCGCGTACCAAAGTGTGGCACTCTGCATGGGAAGCCAGGAGGCTTGGCTTCTAACCTGGGCTTGGTCACCGCCTCATTCTGTGACCTCAGCAAGGTCGCTGCCCCTTTTGGGCCTTCACTTTCCTCCTCTGGAAGGTGTAGGCACTGAGCTCCCTGAGCTTCTGAGTTCCTTCCAGCCCTGGAGTTCTGTGAGGAGTTGGAGACAGAAATATTTCAGTGTGATCCATGGCCAGGGTCTGGGGTTCCCCCTGGAGCCACACAATCTCCACCCCCCAGTTTCTGAAGCACTGCCCTCAGGCAGCTGGGTGGCATGTCTGCCAAGCTTAGAATCAGGAAGAACCGAGTTCAAATCCTGCCATAGGATTTACTAGCTGGGTGACTTGGAGTAAGTTGCTGAATCTCTTTCAGCCCGTTTCCTCATCTGTTAAATGAAAGGGGTGGGCCTCTGAGGTTCTTTCCCGCTCTCAATCTCTGACCCTTTGCCCTGTTGGCTCCAGGGGCAGGGCGGGGAGCAGGACCAGTTGGAGGTGGAGTCACAAGGGAGGGGGAACATTGTAATAATTGAAGCTGTCCCATAGGAGAATGGGCTTCTTCCATGCCTCTTCTGTTGGATTAAGCTGGGATGGAACCCTTCCTTCAAGGCTCTTTTCTCCTACCCTACACTGCTTTGAGGGCAGCTAGGTTCCACATTGGCTAAGAGTGCTGGCCCTAGAGTCAGGACGGCCTGAGTTCAAATCCTGCCTCAGACATTTACAAGCCGTGTGACCCTGGGCAAGTCACTTAACCCTATTTTCTTCAGTTTCCTCATCTGCAAAATGAGCTAGAGAAGGAAATGGCACCAGTATCTTTGCCAAGAAAACCCCAAATGGAGTCACGAAGAGTCAAGACACGACTAGTTGACTGAATAACAAATATGACTCCTCTATGACTTTTGTGGCTCCGGGTGAGAAGGGCAGAGACGGGGCAGGCATCGGCGACTGGTAGTTACCTGGACAAGGCCGGGGATCTCCCGCAGTCTGAGCCCCAGAGCCGCCCGGGGTAGGGGCGAGGGCAAGGGAGACAGCTGGTAAGACCGGGCCAGCCCTGACCTGTGGCCCTTTGCTTCCCAGAGAATGCGGCCGCCCTGGAGGAGCTGCTGAAAGAATACCACAGCAAACAGCTTGTGCAGACCAGTTACAAACCTTTGCCCAAGTAAGCCAGAGGCCATCAGCGATGGGGAGGCAAGCCCGAGGGGGAGGCGAGAGCTCAGCTCGCCACCTCATTTGTTGGCCACGCGTGTTTTTAACCAGCTGCCTCGTTCCTTTTGCTGCACTTCCACCCGGCTCCTCTGGCTGTCCTTCCCCCGGCTTGTTTTTCCTCCCCTCCTGACTTCTCTTGCCTCTGCTGCCTGATTTGGTTTGCTGCTGGTACCTGCTTTCTCTTTGTGGTTGCACTGTCCTTTTGTGATTTCTCCTGTCATTTGCTGTCAGGTTCCTGTAGGCCCAGGCTCCTTGGGGGAGTTGGCTGTAGATGGGGCAGAGGACTTGCTATTATTCTACAATTCTTCTTGCTGTTTTCTGGGGATTTAGGGAAGGAAAATAGGGTTTTTCTTCCCTTCAAGCAGACAGGAGTCTCCCTCCCTGTGGCATGGGCTGGAGATAGGGAATGTGTGGCCTCGGAGTTGGGTAGGGTCAGCCAGGCCAGGCTGGTGGGGCAGGGCACAGTGCTGAGGCCATTCTCAGCTGGAGGGGCAGTGTAAAGTACCCTCCTTCTTCCTCTTTTCTCTTCTCTCCTCCCTGTTCCTTCTTTTTTCCCTTCCTCCTCTTTTCTCCTTTCTCTTCCCCTTTTCTTTTTTCCCTTTCTCCTCTTTTCTCCTTTCTCCTCTC